AGGGCCGCCGGAGCCGGCCGCGGCGGGGAAGCCAAGGGGTAGAGAGGGCCAGGGAGCCCGACCCGGAGCGGCCGGGGGGTCACCCGGAGCAGCCGGCCGCCCCCAGCCCCAGCTGCACGGCCTGCCGGGAAGAGCCCCGCTCGGTGCTTCCTTGCTATCCCGCTTTTAGCCAGCAAAAGCTGAAGTTGATCTGAAGCCCGTTTAATCGCAAGAGGACGCGATCAGGCCCTTCCTTGGGTACCTTCGCACCCCCTGCTCCTGAGAGGCACTGCTTAACGTGACCCGAGCGGCAGAGACAGGCGAGGAATTGCATCACCCCGAACCCTCCTCAATGGCTTTACTGTTGTTCTTGTTTCCCCTACAAACACACCTGGGCAGAACAATTGAGGTTGCAAGTCCCAACAGAGGAGCATCTGCCCAAGGGCGCTGCTAGGGTGGTGCGCAGAGTCTGCACCCAGCGGGGACGGGGACGGGAGCCGCTCGGCCGGGCCGGCAGAGGTCGCCCCGAGGGGGCCCAGGCGAGAGCCACGCTGCGACGCGCAGCTCCCGGCCGGCTCGGCAACGCGTCGCACCGCACGCCCGGGCGTTTCGGTAACGCCTCCTGCTGCCCAAAGGCACCTTTGCCATAAGAGCAGTCGCAACGCCTGGTGCCCAATACACATACCCAAACCAGCTCCCAGCTATCCACCCCGCGCTCGAGCCTGCGGCATCCAGCGGCCCCAGCGCCGAGCCGCATCCTGCTCCCCTGCGGGACAGGTCACCCTGATCAACCATGCGATAGCAGGGGAAACTGCAGAGATTTGCAATTTTGAGTTGTTTTGTTTTTAAAAAGAGCATTTAGGTACTTGGAAGACGCAGCCAAGCATCTGAAGCAGCTTTCAAAACAAACCCCCAAAAACCTGGCCTCGAGTCATTGATCCAGGGTGCCTGGGCCGGGGAGAGCCGACGCAGAGGGTCCAGACTCCCGGCCTTGGGCTGGCAGTCGAAACGTCCCCTTGGGAGAGCTGTGCCCCCTTGGCCGTTCCCCCCGCTCCCGCCTCCAAACGCGACCCGAGGCCAAAGCACGCAGAAACAGCACGTGCCCCCGGCACCGC